ACACGTATGGCGGCGTGTGGTAAACGAACAATAAATTATTTAGATATTATAGAAATATATTTTTTGATTTACAACCTCTCAGAACATCCTAAATTTTAGTTGACACGATATTGTTCAAACATAATTTTAWTAATAGTTATTAGGTTCTATATCAAAGTTCAAAATATTCAAATACTTACCATCCAAAATAGAGTCTCGTTCGCGAACCCGGAATACTCTTCGATCGTTGAGAGCACGCTGAAAATCAGGCACACCAAAACGACCATGAACCTGTGAAGAAAAAATCAACTCGTCAGTTTTCATATTATGTATATTACGATCTTGGTACGTGGATTGTATCGAGTCATAGCTTTTTTTTTCTCAGACTATAGCGATTTTTCTTCTTCAATGGTTCAAAACATGTCTCTGGAAAATTTTAATATTCTCAGGATGTTTATAAAAATGTACAACTTGGGTTATAATATATATACCTATATTATATGAGCATATCAATATAAATWCGTATTTATCAGAGAGATTCGTCAAGCAGATGATTCAATTCATTTTTACATAATCTAACATTCGATTTCACGAACTTTTTAATATTATAAGGTACTATACGCGAAAATATTATAATAATAACCCGGTCGATATCGGCATGAAATTTTAAAACAAACAAAATCCGTGGTTCTGATTTTTGTGCATAACGAGTTTTTAAGTAAACACTTTAGGCGGGCGATTCTATTAAAATAGAGTTTATTTTTGGTCGTGTTTGTTTGCAGGTTGTTGTCGCATAACGTTGATTGAAAATCATAATGGTGGTATACTTTGACGGTGGTTAGGTTAACTTTAACGTGATTTTCACCGTTTATCATTGTGTTTGATTACAGGCTATTCTCGTGTTGCGTCATCGAAAAATAAAAATTGTCGACATGGTTGTTAGAGTAATAATRATAATATACAGGTAGGCATTATAGGTAAATACATATTCCAATACTAAGAGTACCACGTACTCGGCGACGACCAACGTGTTTTACGTAAAATTCCATACCCTCACCTCCGGCATGTTTCGATTTTCTTTYTTTTTWAAAACATAAACTTTCATGCTTACGTTTATAATTTGCATGATTTGACTTAAGCGTAAAATTAAAAACTAAGCGGACGGCTGAAAATATTTGCCTTTTATCCCCCTCTATATATATAATATACTTCCTACCAAAAACAACCACAAAATCAGCGGAAACTACCAACAAAAATATTCAAAAAGAATATTAAGACTGATTTCTTTATCAAATGATATTTCCTATTCAAAATTGTATTAACATACAAACAGAAAAATAAGCTTTTATATGACATAGAAATGGCGTATGAACTAAACGCATATAAACAAGATATAATCATAACATTTAAATGGAAATATAAATCAATAATTATGATTAAACAGTTAAATAAAATAATGCACTTGTTTTATATACATTTTTTTATAATATGTGAATTTTGAATGACATTGGAAGTTTTATTTATACAAAAATGTTCATAAGTAGGTAAATTGCGTTAATATTTTAATAAATCGTCTTGTTGGGTGGAAGAATATGCAACACGTCTTCTCTCTCACTATCTCTATTTATTTATGTATATATATATATATATTTATTGTGACAAATTGCTAAAAGTGTCAAGAGTTCACCAGTATGAAATTTAACATAGTCTAACGTGCGTTCCAACCTCACCACGATAAAACGTCTACCTCCAGTGAGTAGATCATCATCCGCCGTCGACGTTCCTAGATAATGTGTCACACACATTTCGGACTGGTGAACGTCATAATATTATTAAATTATTTTAACGGTAGAAATGTTGGTTGGTAGTTCAGAAAAACAATCACTGTCTAAATGTCCATAAACGTATCCATTCAAAGAGCACCGGATACGCTTGAAGATGATGTATATATTATATTATTATCGTGGCCATAGTGTTAAATCCACGTCACAATATTATCTTTTGCCACACCGCTAGTGACCACCACAGACATTATTCGATTATTATGCGTGGCCATAGGTGGAGATTTAGTTAAATTTTAAGAAACGGGAGAGGCTTAATTTTTTCATAGACAACAAACATGGATTATGCAAACAAATTCGAATAACCTTCTTCCATACATTTTTAAATATTTTGTATCGTTTATCATAAATATTACTAATAAATTTGCTAATATGAAACAACATAATATAATTATTGCATACCACTTCCAGTTAATAACAATAAAATAAAAATATAATAATATACCAATCTAATGACAGCAAAACATATAAAATATGTGTACACAAATTATAAAATTTTAATAAAATGAATAATTTTAATTTTGGGATGAAGCCKGCAGAAAACAGTATTAAAACTGGGAAACTCATTCTTTAGTATATAGTTGTTATTGAGTGCACCTAGTAATTTAGTAGAGACTGCAATTCAATTATAGGATGAAAAATTATTTTGAACTCGTAGTCTGTCTGTTATTGCTATTGCGATAAATCATATTTCAATTAATAATAAATATTTTGAAAATACAATTGTGAAAAGTAGATAATAATATACGGAATGGTAAAA